TTCCTAATCCAAACATTAGAGAAAACACTTAAATGGTTGTAATCTTTACAAAGATTTTATTGCTTTATTAAAACACATAACTACAAATTCAGAAAAGCAATTGTGAAGTGCATTTTGTGATCTTGGAGTAATATCTCAAAAAGACAAACTTTTGCAAAGGAAAGTGCTGAATATAATATTATTCAGATAATAACACAGAAGTGCTGCTCTTCAGGATCTCTCCGTCTTCTGTCTCTTCGAGGGCTCTTCATCAGCTGTCTTCCTCTTCTCTGGCTTCTGATTGGCCAGAGAAGTGTGTGTTGCATCCATCAGACTGAACTCCTGTAATAATGATGGCTGAATCTGATTGGCCATGGCCCAGGCCCATAAACACTGCTCCACCCTGTGAGGAGTCCAGTCCCGCTGGCCGTCCGCTGAGACCGCAAACATCGCAGTCAGATCCCCATGAAGAACACTTAAGCTGAACATGCATCTTAAATCTCTTACCTTTATTAAGCTGGGATGATTTGTTCAGTATTTTCTGGAGGAAAAGTGCATAATGTTTGGCCGTGTACTCGACCGTTCTGAGCTCAGCGATGCTCTCCACAGCTTCATCAGCCATGAAGGCCACTTCACCCGGAGCTCCGGCCGCCAACACGGCTGATAGAGACAGTTTAGATGCATATTAATACAGTTATTGCATGCATGTGTGATTTGATGGGTGTGTGTGTACCTGATGCCGTCGCTGGCCCGACACCTTTGAGTTTGCACAGCTCTGTAATCGCCGCTTGGACGTCAGGCAACAAACCGAAAGCTTTGCTGGTCGAGCTTTGAACCGCCTCCTCGCTGTTTGAGCCAATCAGCTGCTGCAAACGAGGCCTGAACTTCCCTTTCTGTTGGAGAGTATCCATCGTCAGTCATCAAAGAGGGAAACGCACTTGTGCACAACTGATCTGATGTCATAAGCGTGAACGTCACCGCATGCAACCAGTGAGCCACTCGCCTATTTCCGGCATCATGGTTCTTGTTAATTACGTAGTGTGTGAATCTATTTCTGTTGCGCTTACAGTCAGTTTCCACGCCATGATGTTGACGAGCTCAGCGTGTGTGAGGGAACGCTCGGATCGGGCTGAGATCGCTGCCGGCAGCTCCTCCTGAAACCTGACAGAAGACTTACTACATCTACAATTCTATTCTATTCTGACGCAGAAACAACAATGAACATAAAATGTGTTTGTGAGAACTCAAATATATATATTTTTTTCGTGTTCATGTGATTTTTAAAAATGTTTTTATTTATATAATTCACAATTTAATCATATTTTAATTTCTGTAGTTTATTATGTTTTTAAATTTGAGTCATTTATAATTATTAATATATAAATTAATATTAAATTCTATTCTGATACAAATACAGTAATGATCATAAAAACACATTTTGGGTGTTTAAATGTGGCTCATAACAAATAAAGGAAATGCTAGTGAAACTGCATTTAAGGTTTTGTCAATTTGCAAGTTCATGGTTAATTATGACGAGTAGGCAAAAAATATAAATTAAAAGGATACAATTAATACATTCATTTTAAATGTATATAATTTAACAATATTTAAATGTATGTATTTTATAAATACATTTTAGTATTATATTTGTAATTTATGATTATATATACATTTTATTTTTATCATTTATTTGAAATGGATATATTTTAGCATTTATATTTGTAATTTATTTTACTTTAGTATTTATAGTATTTTATATTTACATTTGTTATATTATTATTATTCATATTCAATCCTATCCTGATGTAGATACAATAATGAACATAAAAACACATATTATGTATTAATTTGTGAGAGACCTTGAATATTTTTGTAGTTGTTCACATATCTTCACATGTAGTGTTAAACTGCATGGTAATGGCTAATTTTGATGAGTAAGCAAAAATTAACTAACATTATTACAATCATTTTTTACATTTATTTTATTTAGAATGTAATCAAATAACTTGCATAACGTGCTGTTTTAAATGTATACATTTTTAGCAATATTGTAATTTCAAGTGTGTGCTTGTAAGAAGTCAAACCATCTGTCCAGTTGCAGGAGTTTTCCTGATGTCTTCCCCTTCACAGCTGACTTGGCTTCTACTACACTCCAGTATTTTGCATGAACTGCTCTCCACACAGCTGGATCTTCACAGTTATACAGGCTCTGGTTCACAGACATGACTGACAGAGAGAGAGAGATAATGCAAACACAGACTTCATAACATTAACAAACAAATGTAGCAAGCGACATCACAGCATATTATCATACCGGGATGTGTTATGACAAATATTCTTTTGTGTGAATTTTTAAAGGCGTTATGTGAACAGATTGTGCAGCTCTCCTGCGGCCTGACTGAAGCAGCGAGCCAAGCGAGCGACCGGAGGTGACGTCAGCCGCGAACGTAAACAATGATTCTACATCCGCTTCCCATGAACGGGCACATTTGTTTTTAAAAGGGTAAGTTCTGCGCGGTTATTTCAGCGATATCTAAACTCATATTACAGTTGAACATTCATGTTCGAAGGCTGTATTACTGACTCGTGCTGCATGAGTTATTACTGCTGTACTGAGCTTTTGTTGCACTTTTGTTGTGGCAAGTGACTGCCACGAGCTCCGAAACACAAACTTACGCATATTTACTACATATAATATTCCATGCATAATAAGAATACAGCTGTAATATCATTGTGTTGCAAAATGTATTACATTTGTATAATCTCGATTCTCGAAGCACCAATCTCCCAGTATGCTTGAGGTGAATATGACAAAACCCTTATATAAAATCATTACATTTAATTGGTATTTCTGTGCATTATAATAACAAAGTCATGCGCTCTTTTTCCTAATGTTAATGAGAAAACAGTATTTATAAACTGATATTGCAGTGAAATTACTGGCTGACCGCAGTCAGCAGCAGATAAAATATTTACACAACATGCACTGTACTAATAGATATAATAATAATATTAGCAATAAAATCTATTGTGTCTATATTGTATCTATTTGTCTATTTATAGACAAAATAATATATATATATATATATAACTTTTACATTTCACTTATTTATTGATTATTTATTTTATTATTATTATTTTATTTTTTTTGCTGATATCACTTTTACATTTCACTTATTTATTTATTATTTATTTTATTATTATTATTTTTTTTTTTTTTGCTGATATCACTTTTACATTTCACTTATTTATTTATTATTTATTTTATTATTATTATTATTTTATTTATTTATTTTTTTTTCATTTTTTTGCTGATATCACTTTTACATTTAATTTATTTATTTTATTTATTTTGATTAATTTTTGGCTGCTATGTTTTCTGTTGTTCTGTTTCTGCCTTGTTTGTGTTCTGCAGGTCGGTGTGTAATTCTGTATTAAGATGATAACCACGATCGGGTGAAGGTGTGCGTGACGTCACGCACTGACTGTCACGCGAGGTGTCATTTTTAGCTCGAGCTGTGAGCGAGAAACAGACGGTGAGATGAGAAAAAAAAAAACCCTGAATTGTGTGTTGCCTTAAATTAAACAGTAGCATTAAAATTCCCTTAGGTGTTTGTGCTTCTAACACAATAAACTGTTTGGAAAAACATCCAATTATCTACTTATACATATATGATCTATAATGAATAATTATATATATATATAATTAATTTTTTGTGAAATAATAAACACAATAAAATGTTTTTGCTGTTTCTGGCTTCATTTTCTCAGGTTTTGGTGTGGAGTCAGTGAATGAGCAAGAGAAAGGTTATTTAAAAAAATAAACTCAACAGAACGGGCTTTGCACACAAAGCGTAAGAGTGAACCTCTCACTTTATTACTGTATGTTTTGACTTTAATTGCTGGAGATGTAAATGCACCTCGTAACATCGCCACCATGAGATGTTCATTCATATTGATGAATCTGTCCTCCACCTGCTGGCCAGAGATTTTAGAGTTTTTAGCTAGATCTCTTCTTTCTTTGTGTTTCCACCTCTGTTTGCTCTCTTTCTCTTGATTTTGCAGCTTGAGATGGAGAAGATGACCAGGGTCAGCACTATCAGTGGCTGTACCATGTTTTGCCACCTGGATGCACCTGCCAACGCCATCAGCGTGTGTCGGGATGCTACGCAGGTGAAAATGAGATGAAAATTATATTCACAACACAAGCCAAAGTGCCCAATTAGATTTTTCTACTCAAATCTGTTTTATGATGGTTCACACGACTAAATTGATCAATATAAAATTATTACAATAACCTTTACATTTATATAATTTATAATAAAGCAGTATTTACATTTATATAATTTATTATTTATTCATTATTAAATTATTTATGTGTAGTGTTATTATTAATTTATTATTATTTAATATCTTAAATGTATATATTTTAGTAATTTACATTTGTAATTTATATTATATTAATATGTAAATTCATGTTAGTATTTAATCTGTCAATGACTAATATCAGTTATTAATAATATAATTAATTGTCAATAATTAATATTCACTTTCAAAATACTATTTTTGGATACTATTTTTATAAGATGTAGTTACCCTTTGACTGATCAGAACATATTTCAGGTGATGTTTGCTTGGCAAAATATTTTGTGTAAAATGTATTAATTTATGATTATTTATATTTATTGTTATTGATTTATTGTTTATAATATGTATAATGTAATTGTATATAATGTAATAATTTATATACACAAGTTATTTGATTATTAATATGTAAATGATATTAAATTGATCAATCACTAATATCAATAAATAATAATTAAATCTCAATAATAAATATTAATATTCAAAATACTATTTTTGGGTAATGTCATTAGAGACAGTTAACTTGTCATTGATCACAACATGTTTCAGGTGGTGGTTGCCATGCAAAATATCTTAAATATTTTAATTTCAATAATTTGTCATTAAGTTCATGAAGTTTTCAAAGATCTATTATTGTTCATATTTATCACTATAAATTAATTTATTTTAAATATATATACTTTAGTGATTTATTTGTCATTTATCTGATTATTAATATTTAAATAAATATTCAATCTGTCAATGACTAATATAAATTATTAATAATTAAATAATTAATTGTCTTAAGTGTTTTGTTAATTAAATTAAATCGATTTATTATTATTATTTATTAGTCAAACGATTAATCGCGATTAATCACTTCCAAAATAAAAGTTTTTGATTGCATAATATATGTGTGTATAGACTGTATACTGTGTATATTTATTATGTATATATAAATACACATATTGTACATACAGTATATATTTTGAAAATATTTACGTGTATTTACATGCCTATATTTATATTCATATAATTTATATTATAAATAAATATATTTAATATATAAGCATAACATATTTTTCTGAAATATATACATGCATGTGTGTGTACTTATATATTCATAATAAAACACAGTACACACACACATATTATGCAAACAAAACTTTTTTTTATTGGATGCGATTAATCGCGATTAATCGTTTGACAGCACTATTATTTATATGTATTATTATTAATAATTTATGTATTGTTTCAGTATGTATATATTTGAGTAATTATTTGTCATTTAAATGATTAGTAGTATGTAAATTAATATTCAGTCTGTCATTAGATACAGTTAACTTGTGATTGATCACATTATGTTTCAGGTGGTGGTTGCCGGGCGAAATATTTTCAAGATTTACGGTCTGGAGGAGGACGGTTTCGTGGAGCGGCTGAACCTGCGCGTGGGACGCAAACCCTCGCTGAACTTCAGCTGTGCGGATGTCATGTGGCATCAGATGGAGGAGAACCTGCTGGCCACCGCCGCCACTAACGGAGCCGTGGTGACATGGAATCTGGCGCGGCCCTGCCGTAACAAACAGGAGCAGCTGTTCACCGAACACAAGCGCACGGTCAATAAAGTCTGTTTTCACCCCACTGAGGTCAACATGCTGCTGTCTGGCTCTCAGGACGGATTCATGAAGTGTTTTGACCTGCGCAAGAAGGAGAGCGTCAGCACCTTTTCTGGTAGATGAGCGTCTCTCTGGCTTTACTACAGCATCTGCACATGTGACCCGTGCTGGCAAGATGAGTGTGAATGCACACGGTCTAATTTTGAGCTACAGGCAAAAGAAGCCCTCTTCTAGTGATCTCAATGCTCCAAATAGTAATTAAACATCCAAAATAATCTTTTATTTGTACGTTTTCTGAGAGGAGTATCTTTTTCTCCGCTCACTTCTAGATGACTGCTGCTGCTTCTCACCACAAGTTGTAGGTCTATTGTTGCAAAGCGCAGCGTTCCAGCTTTGTGAATATTCATATTGAATTCTCAATGACATGAGTCCAAACCAGTGAAATATGTTTTTCAAACCCATGCTGATGAAAACAAAAGGATCGCAGACTAACATTTGCAAAGCATGTGCATAATCTCCCTGTAAAGTACATTATTGCAAAATATGTCTAGGCGAGATTCACACAAACATAATCTGTTATGTTTTACATGAACGTTAAGTTAATGGTTGGGAAAAAATCTGATGTGTAACATTATATTAGATCCATGCATTACAGTAGGTCTTAATATAGATCTAATCAAACATTAAAAGAATAGAGGAATCACTCGCTGCTCTTGATTAAACTACTGTTTTTTTTGCATCTTTGTTCTTATTTTTTTAATAATTGTGATTAATAGTATAGTAATTATTAAGAAAAGAAATGGAAGAAAATATGCAACGTTGCTTGGTGATTTTTTCTTTGCAATCTTCAGAAAACTTTCACTCAATTTTTCTCAAAATCATCTTTGCTGACTATCGCCTTCAAACGGCTGTAGCTCAGTCATTTTTTGTCCCATATTCCAACAAGTCATATATCATCATCAATAAAAAGAACTCATTTTTGACAGTTTGCTTGCCAGCAGGGGTCACATGTCAAAAATAGAATTCTGTCATGATTTACACATTATACAGCCACAAAACATCATCCAAGTACCTATTTTCAATGCACTTTAATGAGAAGCACATCTGGAGCATTTTAGACACTAAATCTGATGCTACACAGAGACCGTACACACCGTGAACACCAGTCTGTGTTTTGCAGGTCAGTCTGAGAGCGTGAGAGATGTGCAGTTCAGTATTAAGGATTATTTCACGTTTGCGGCCTCGTTTGAGAATGGAAACGTACAGCTGTGGGACATTCGCAGACCCGACCGATACGAGAGGATGTTCACCGCGCACACCGGACCCGTCTTCTGCTGTGACTGGCACCCTGAGGACAGGTGTGTGCACACGCAACTAAACTCATAATAATTAGAATACATTTGTATTAAAATTATAACATTGTTATTTGAATAGCACCTTTCACATGTACAAAGTGCTTCACAGGTCAGCATGTTAAAAATAC